CTATGCAAAGATTTAAATAGAAGTACTCAAGGCCAGGGAGATGGCTTAGTGGAATAAGCACTTCCCTGGCAAGTGCAAGGTCCTGAGTTGAGTCCCCATTCCCGCCTAAATAAATAAATAGAAGTACTCATTAAAGTATGAAAGAGACAATAGCAAACATCCAGTGATGCATCTGTACATGGACACCATGCAGTTAATACTTTAAAGGAGTAATTGGGCTGAGGCGGCAGCACTTGTGTAGTGTGCATGAGGTTCTCGATGTAATCCTCAGCACCAAGAACTTACATGTTTATTTGTTTATAGTCTTTTGTCTTGTGTGTGGTACTGGGGATTGAACTCAGGCCCTGGCAAGCACTTTATTCTAGTGAGCCATCTCCCAGGCCCTCATTTCTTAATTTGATACAGTCTCACTATGCAGCTCAGACTCGTAGTGACCCTGTTGTCTCAGCCTCCCCAGCACTGGAATTACAGGCATGTGCCAACATGCTGGGTTTCAAGGGCTGGCATGGCATATGGTACTGGGAGTTGAAGCTGGGCCCTTGTACTTGCCAAGCAAGTGCTTAAACTGCCAAACTCTCTCCCCAGCTCAAAAAATTTAATTTAGGAAATAACCAACAGCACACCTGGAATCCCAGGACTGAGGAGAATGAGGCAGGAGGATCACTATGAGTTTGAGGCCATTCTGAACCACTTGGCAAGATCCTATCTCAAAATAACAAAGGGGCCGGCAAGATAGCTCAGCAACTTGCCTGGCAAGCACAAGGGCCTGAGTTCAATCCCCAGCTCCGCAAAAAAAGCTCAGCAGACTAACATGCTAGCTTAGGCAATTTAGGCAAGCTCAGGGTCCACGCCAGTTAGGTACCAGCGCCATAGGCCATGCCAGCTCTGCCCCCCAGGGTGGGCTTAGTAGGCCAGAGTCCGGGTGTAGTAGTGCATGCCTACAATCCTAGTGCTGAGGACGCTGGAAGCAAGATCACCATGAGTCTTGGCTGCATAGTGAGACTCTGTAACAACCAAATACATTTTTTTTAAAAAAAGTGACAGGGCCGTGGAGATAGCTCAGTAGAATAGGCGCTTGCCTGGCAAGCACAAGGGCATGAGTTCAATCCCCAGTTCTGTAAAAAAAAATAAATTTGGGGGGGGGAGTGACATACAGATGGTCCCCAAATTAAAACTTTACTGTTAGCATGAATGTATTGGGTTATTAAATAAATGCGTATACAATTCAAGATAGAATAGGTTTATCAGGAAATAACCTTATATAAAGATAGGAACAGGCCCACATAGTAAAGCCCATTTGAAATCCCAGCTACTGAAGATCCCCGAGGCATGAAAATCACAAGTCTGAGGCCAGCCTTAGCAGCCTGGGATCCTTTTTGAAATAAAACAGGGAGATGGCTCAGTAGCATAAGCGTTTGCCTGGCACGCGCAAGAGCCTGAGTTCAACTCCTGGTTCAGCCAAAAAAAAAAAAAAATTGAAATAAGACAGCCAGGCCTAAGGGGCCTACAAGCAGGCACAGGGGCCGGAGTTTGATCCCAGGCCTGCCATGCTGGCCCCACCTGGGGTGCACCGAGACAGCGATTGAGACTGGGCTAGTGGTGCAGGCCTGCTATCCCAGCACTTGGGAGGCTGTACACAGGAGGATCCCTACGAGTCCAATCTACGCAGTGAGACCCTGAACACCCTGTAGACCCTTCTCTAAAATACAGAGAGGGAAAAAGAAAAATACATATACACACGTGCGCGCAGCTAAGGCAAGGTGGCATGTGCTGTGCCCCTAACCGGAGCACTCTTAAGAAGGTGAGACAGAACTGCTCAGTGAAGTCCATCCCAGGCAGCTTCTAAGAAAGATTTTCCCTGTTGACCAAGTAGACGGTGCTGGCTGAAAACAATTCCCTCAGGTTGGTGGTGGCCACTGTGGAAGACATTGAAATCAAGCTGGGGGTGGTGGCACACGCCTGAAACCCCAGCATGCTGGATGCTGAGACCAGAGGATCTCTAGATTTGCAGCCATCCTGAGCTACATAGTTCAAGGTTGCCCGAAGTCACCCATAGTAAGGCCCTGTCTAACCGAAAAATAAAGGAGACAGACTGAACTTAGTAGCTGGGCTGGGGGTGTGCAGCATGGTGGTAGATCATTTAACCTACTAAGTGCAGAACTCTGGGTTTGATCCCCAGCAGTGCAGGTAAAAAAGAAAAGCATAAAGATGTATTGGTGTACCTTACAGTTGGCTGATGGAGGGGCCGGGGACATAGCTCAGTAGAATAAGTGAAGGGCCTCGGTTCAATCCCTGGTCCTGCCAAAAAAAAAAAAAAAAAGTTGGCCCATGGATATTAAGAAAGTAGCACAAATATGCAGCTGGGTCTAGGTAACACTGTTAAAATAGGGATAGTTTCAATGTCAAGTTTTCAAATTGACATTTTTAGATATACTGGATGACCTGAATGCTCTCATTCTGTGCTTGGTAGTTACAGATAAAAGTTGACCAGATGAAATACATAGCACCACCATAGCTGGCTATACGATATACAAATATTTATGTGGCATATTGGCAAAAAATTGAGAATTCAAGCTAGGTGGGATGTTGCATGTCTGTAATCCTAGCACCTGGGAATTCGACGCAGGAGGATCACTGCAAGTTGGAAGCCAGTGTAAGATACAAAGTGAGCTGAAGGCCTGAACCCTGTTTCAAAAAAGACCCAAAAAGAAAAGAATTCACTAATCATACCAGAAAGTCAGTACTTCACGTAAATGGTTGATGAAAACAGTGGCTCAACCATTTATTTGTGGAATAGTCATCTCTGGGAAGTAAGCTTAGAGTGGGAAAATTTAATTTTTTACCAAACTACTGCATGGTTTTACTTTTTTTTTTTTT